AGTTGCAGATAAACTAGTTCATGAAGTCTTCTGTCGTTTTGGAGTACCTTTAGAGATTCACAGCGATCAAGGAAGGAATTTCGAGTCTCAAATATTCCAGGAAACTTGCAGAGTTATGGGTACTCATAAAACACGAACAACTTCTTACCACCCACAATCTGATGGAATGGTAGAACGATTTAATCATACATTGGAAAGGTACCTGGCAAAAGTTGTGGAAAAACGGCAACGAGACTGGGACAGGCACATACAACCGTTTTTGTTGTCATATCGAAGCGCTGTTCACGAAAGTACGTCAGTGACGCCAGCTTTCGCAAACTTTGGGAGAGAATTACGGCTGCCTGCAGACCTGATCACCGGAATACCACCTGATGCCCCACGTAGTATAACCGATTATGCAAATGACTTGCGGAACAAAATGAATGACATTTATGAGCACGTCAGACAGACGGGCCAGCAAACGTCTGAGAAGATGAAAACACGGTATGACCGCAAAATGAACAACAAGGGGTTTGATGAAGGTTCACTAGTGTGGTTACACAATCCAGTTCGCAGCAAAGGGAAATCTCCTAAGCTTCAAGCTAAATGGGACGGACCGTACCGGATTGTGACAAGGATCAATGATGTAACCTACCGGATACAGAAAGGTGCCAGAGGTACTCCTAAGATTGTCAATGTGGATCGACTGGCGCTTTATTATGGGGCCAATAATGCTCGGGACGAGCATGTCTTAGGAGGGGGCAGTGTTGCGCGCCACTATTAATGTCTTGTACATGGCAACACTAGTTACACTAGCGCCCCCTAGTGTCGAGTAAATGAAAGTATTGCGCGCCACTATTAATGTCTTGTACATGGCAACACTAGTTACACTAGCGCCCTCTAGTGTCGAGTAGCAGAACTAGGAGAGTCGAGATCCTTCCAGAAATTTCGGGACCGATATGTACTCAAACATTCTAGATGTCACTACAGTAGAAGGTTCTGGAAACTATCTGAGGCCCTATATAAGGCCGGTATAGACCACGACCGGGGTAGTATTGAATTGGCGATACAAGAGAATACTTCGAAGCGAAATAACGGCGAACTGTGTTTTATTATTAGTGTGATTTTAGATTGTAATTAGTGTTGTGTAATTAAAGTGTCAATTTTGGTAATTCAATCGGCAGTTTTTAATTGTCTCGAATCCCAAGCTCGTAACATTATTTTCTTAGTTTAATTAATTCAATTTTAACAACAGGTAATATTCCTCCATCATGGAAAATCCATGAAGCTATCCCAATACATAAGCCCGACAAACCGATTAATGATCCATCATCTTACAGACCAATTGCATTAGCTTCAGTTATTTCCAAAATTTCCGAACATTTAGTTAAAAATAGGTTAGAATGGTTTATTGAGAGTAAGGGGTTACTATCTCCAAACCAGTTTGGATTTAGGAAAGGTAGGAGTACAATGGATAGTCTCAGCATTTTTATGACAGACTTAAGATTGGCATTTTCGTACAATAACCCTGTGTTAGCAGCATTTTTAGATGTATCCAGCCTATGATAATGTCAACCTTTCAATTCTGAAACAAAAAATGATTAATTTGGATATCCCACAAATTTTTATAAGATTCACAATCAATCTTCTCTCTGGTAGAATGCTTAAAGTAATATCAGAAGACTCTTACCAATCCCGTATTGCCTGGAAAGGTATACCCCGGGGCTCAGTTTTAAGTCCCTTAATTTACAATATATATTCTCATGATCTGGAAGCCTCCCTTAAGGGTAAAGTTAGCACACTCCAATATGCAGATGATTTACTCCTCTATGTCTCTGGTGATTCTGTTCACAACATGTCTGATACTATGACATATTCCCTTAAGTTAATAAAAGTTTGGCTTGACAATAACTGTCTCAGCCTTTCAGTTTCTAAAAGTAGTATAGTCTTATTTTCACGTATGAGGTTTCCTCCTCCAGTGCCTGTACTTTATAATAACATTAGAGTTCCCGTTAAAAGCGAAGCAACATTTCTTGGAGTAATTTTAGACTCAAGACTTACAGGCATCCCTCATTGCTACTATATAAGTGCCAAATGTGAGAAGATTCTAAATATACTGCGCTGCCTCTCTGGAGTTTGGTGGGGAGCCCACCCTTTGTCTCTAAAGCTTCTATATAATGCCCTAATAAGGAGTATTTTAGACTATGGAACATTTATTCTTGAACCCTGTAATGCAGTAGCTCTCCATAAGTTAGACATTATCCAGTCTAAGGCTCTGAGAATAATTGCTGGGGCTATGCGTTCGAGCCCTATTAACGCTTTGCAGGTTGAATGTTCTGAAGCGCCCCTGCATCTCAGACGACAATTTCTTTGTGACAGGTTCCTGTTTAGAGCATTCCAAGTCTATAATCATCCTCTTTACTCTAAGTTACGGTCTCTGTTGGAATGTATGGACTATCCGTACTGGGCTCATAAATCGCCGCCATGCCTTATTGTTAGTCTCCAAAAATTCTTAGCTCTTCAAGCTCCAACACATAGATCACAATTCCTTCCTATATTTTGTGTTAACTATGATGCCTTAATTTTAAAACCATCTATTTTGTTTGATTTCGGTGTATGTAAACAAGATCCTTCTGCCAACGCCAAATTTATTAATATTGTTGACAGTGACAGCCGATGGAAACATTGCCATTTAATTTTTAGTGATTCTTCCAAACCCGGTTCCGAGGAGTGTGTGGGAGTTGGCGTTTTCCATCAACAGTTTGGCATTGTACAGAAAATAAAATTGCCTCCAGAGACTTCAGTATTTACTGGAGAATGATTTGGTCTGTTGAAGTCTCTGGAGTATATTTTAATCATGAAGTTAAAAAACTCAATAATTTTTACCGATGCTAAAAGTGCCCTCCAAGCCTTGGAAAGATTTCCTTTTAGCAGTAACAGAAATAATCATCCAGTTATTATTGCATGTCGTGATTTATTGTATCAATGTTGCATCAAAAATTACACAGTTTCTTTTGCTTGGATTCCGGGGCACTCAGGTATCTTTGGCAATACCAAGGCCGATAGCCTTGCCAAAGCTGCAATCAATGACGGAGATCTAGTTCCGTACAAAAACTTTTGTTGTGATTTGGCTCTCCTTCCTAAATCCGAGTTATTGAATTCTTGGACACATATTTGGCGTTCTTCAAGTCAGACAATAGGTCGATATTATAGCACGATCCAGGTGGATATACCTCCTAAACCGTGGTTTTTAAATCTGACGTTTGGTAAAGCTATCACTTCGACCCTTATTCGTATGAGGCTGGGCCATGCATGCATTCCCTTGCATTTGGCACGACTTAAACTTTTGCCTAGCGATATATGTGAGTGTGGCAATGACATTGGGGATTTTAACCATATATTCTTTGCTTGTCCTCGACATGACCGTTCCGCTTTTATTTCCTCGCTTTTGTCCATTAAAATTCCTTTTCCTACTTCAATTTCTGTCCTTTTATCTTATGTAAATATTGATGTATATAGAATTTTAGCCAGTTTTATTTTTCATAACAATATAAAATTATAATCATTTATGTACTTATATACTAAATTTACCTGATCCTTTTCCAAATTCCGTTCCAATTTCCAATTCAATAAAATAAATCTTACTTCCTAACCTTTTTGCATGGCTGACGCACAAACCGTGCAGGCCAAGAAAGGGAAAAAAAAAAGTTGTCTGACCATAATGCCTCCTCTACACTACTCGCGAAGTAAATTTGACGAAGTACTCGTCGAAGTCTATCGAAGTGCGAAGAACGTGACTATACACTCGTGCTACTTCGCGAAGAGCTCAGTCGTCTTGAGTGTCCCGCACTCTTAACATGAATAACGTTCAAGGGGCAGCTGCTATAGGTACCTGATTCAGTGAACAGTACGACTTCAATGCGTTAAGGCATTTCCCTGACTAAATAACCTTGAGCATGCAGTGCACTGCCGCCCGCACTCCGCGTACGCCCATTTATCATAGAATTCACATAATTTTTGGAATTAATTTTAGTTAAAAAAGAAAAGCGAACTTTAAAAATTAAATAAAACGTGAAAAATATAGATTTTCAAATTATCTATCCATTAGTGTAATACTTAAATGATCAGAGCGTTGCCTTTAGCAACAGATGCATGTAATCAATAATTTTAGTCATTTTTTAAAAGTAGATTTTAAATGTATTTATAACACATAAAAACAAATTAGAACGTGGAATGTGATGATAGGATATCGAACATTAATAATGTGCTTTTAGATGTAGTTCATTTCTCATAACTAATGACTAACTGACTGAATAACGAAGAAAACCGCACTAACGCAAGGTTTTGGTCGGGGTATCGCTATTGCTTTAACTAAATAAATAATTATGTAGAAAGCTACATATTTATATATATATAAAAATAAAATATTCATACCTGGCGTACACCGAGTAGTGTAGTGAGACGCTTCGTGTAACTTCGGGTACTTCGCGAACTCCTTTGACTCTGGCGCAAAAAACCGACAGCGATCGGAAGTCGCCCAAAGTCGCCGAATCGATGTTGCACGAAGGTAATCGAAGTACTTCTCTACACTATTCGCCACAGACTACTATTCGCCTCGTCCAACTTCGAACTACTTCTCGAGTAGTGTAGAGGAGGCATAATATATATGACAATATACCTATCAATACCTACCTATCACAGAATACTTTATATACCCACAGAGTACTTTTATATATACTGAAACCCTGTATATACCTATACCTACCTAAAAAAAACACTTTACAGTGGCAGTGGTTTTAATTTTATTTATTTAAATACATAGTGATATATACTTTATATCTTAACTACTTAGCATAATAAAATCTAGTAAATGTATAATATCATAGTTAAGTGTTGAAATATTTACAATATTTCTTTTATTATTATCAGTTGTAAATAACATTAATTTCTTCCAATAATGTGCAATTAGAAATATTTAGCACTTACCTTGACCTCCTACAAAGAAAGGTTGACCCTGCAACATGCACTCTGATCACGACGACGAGACACCTGTGAGTAAGAAACACGATAAAACCGATACACCCTCTGATGTTGCAATTAAAATCGAAAATTCTGAATCTGGTATTGATAAAAAAGTTGAAAGCAAAGATCCGAAACCACGTATTGTATTGACTTTTCGTTCTGAAAAATCCGGAGCAAAGAACAGCAATATGAAAATAGTTTCCACAGAAGAGAAACATGAAGAGATTTCGCCTAGACGCTCAAACCGAAATCGTAGTTTGAGGTGGGAGTCAGATGAAGATAATGATTCCTTGAGCATGTCTAAAAAAGAACTAAGCATTAGTCAGTCAGTATCGGAAAATGATGAGGCGTCAGACAGCTCACATACTACACTTAAACGTTCCACAAGACGTCGCAGCAAGGAATTTTCTGAAAATTTACTAGCTAATGCTATCGCCAGAAAGGAAAAGTCATATAATGAAACCTATTCGGGTCCCACTCAACGCTTGTCCAGGAGAATTAAGCCTACTGCTAAAATTTTAGCTAATGAAGAATTGAGAATGGGTCTTGAGTCACAAAATAATGCACGCCTTGGAATACAAAGTGAGAAATCTAACGAGGAGGGTGTGAGGACTAGACGATCAGCATATTCTAAAAATTATGACAATACATCTATTGATAGAAAAACAGAGAAACGTCATAAGTCTCTCCGAGAAGAGATGAAACAAGTTAAGTCTGCAAGCTGTGATACTTCGACATCTGAATTGAAAGCTAAACACTTGTGTAAGCTTGGCTTAAAAGCTATCAGTAATGTACCTGATGATGAACAGTCCGAAGAAAATGAAAACAGGTAATTGTCAATGATTACTCTATGCTTATATATTTACTATGCAATTGGAAATTTAACTGACTGGTGATTGGGGGTACAGCAAGTCAAATATCCGTTCTGTACATATCCTACTTACTGCCAGCATAGTTAATATGGGCAAGCCTTTCAGGAAATTTATGCCAGCAGGTGTATGAATTCTTGTTGATGATAATATTCACGAAATATAACATTATTTTGTTTCTCTATTACTACTAAAATCATTTTAGTAATAATGCTTTTATAACAATAATAAAGAAACTCTCTCTGTATTAGTTTTAATGTAAAAAAATCCCTTTGTTAAAGTTTAAATTAAACAATAAATTAGTGATTGAATCTGAATATCTTTGGAATGAAGTCTCAAACTTTTTATATTTTTCTAATGCTTATATGTAGTAAAGACATACATGTAATTATTTCATACTGAACTTTACACATTAAGATTTTAGATGTGAAGTTGTAGAAAACAGCCCATCGTAAGCTAAACTAACTACATATTAAACTGGTAGTCATTTAGTTTAGTTTACGATGGGCTGTTTTCAGCAACTCCATGTCTAAGAGCGTATTTTGCGTGTGGGCAGGAATAATGTAATTATTCGAGCCATGAGATCTCCCCGAAGAAGTTCAACAGTCCTTTGATGTAGCATGCAACTTCGGGCAGTGATCCCGGCGTGCCGAGATGTTTAGCCCTGTATGTATTGACCTCCGGTCTTTTTGCCACGTGCGCCATGTGGGCCGCCATTTCTTCCTCCCCCATACATGCTCTGCACAGGGGACTATCTGTAACACTTATGGTAAAATAAATGTTTGTTAAAAGTACCGTGTCCTGTGATAGCACTTATTACTATCCTGATTTCCAGCTTGTTCAGTCTCTATTAGAACTTTGGTTAAACAACTATTTATTTCAGGCATCATATCACTTAAAAGAGTAATAAAATAACTATAACTGAATTACAATTCGACCTTAAATTAAATTTTAGAAGTGATGAAAATGATCCTGAAGCTATGGAAGAAGATGAAGAAATTGATGATGATACAGAGGTCATCAGCAAACTTTTGGAGGCTGATGAGGACACCAGTGATGAAGATTTCTTCTGTCCAGTTGATACCTCAGGGAGTGAACGTCCTAGACGCTCCACAAGGCTATGCTCTTCCTATGATAATGATAGTGATCAATCTTCAATGTCTATCGAAGATGATGAGTCTAAGTAAGTTTTTTTTTAAAATTAACACAACAGACCACATCTAAGAATGCAAAATAGAAGTTATAATTATAGAAGCGCCACACTGTTACTACACAGCTCCTCACAAGTCTACTGCTGAACCTAAACCTCCCTCATAGATGGCCTCAATATCCCCATATTTGCCACACTTGGCAAGCAGGCTTGCAACGACAGTTTGCTCTTTGTATTTAGCTGTTATAAGTAAGATCATCTCCTGGTTTGTTTTCTTCTGCACACAAAGACAACAGAGGAAACTCAACCTTGTGATAGTCCTCACAATACTGTAACAACATTGTGATCAACCCTTAATATTTTCTCACTTGAGTTTATCATTTAGGTATCATGGGCAACTTTAACTTTTGGGCAACTTCTTAACCATGGCAAGTAACTATGAATAATTGGATGCTGCCATCAACTACAATCACAGAGACACTCACTTATCACAACTTACCCATGCTCAAAACTTATACAATTCAATCAAAGTCAGTAAAGGATACTGTGGTAGACTACATTTTTTACAAAGGCCATATATTTTTAGTCAAAACCAAGTTCTTAAATACTGCTTTAAAACATGACAAGGACATTGAAATATTTTTTTGTAAATATAAATCCAATTACTCTTAAATTGACTGTTAAGCCAATAATTTTTATTACATATACAAAAAAAGGTGAAATTTCAAAAAAAAATTATTGAGAAACTAGTTGTTTACTTATGTGTACTCACACTCGGAGAGTCTCACTCAGTTTCAAAGAGGGAACATACTTGCAAAAAGCACCAGTAGCTAATGAAATACATTTCTATATGTACAGCACATGCGCATGCATTTTGAAATAAGCACAATCTTGTTGGAATGGTTATGGTGGCGTAATAGAATCCATCGCCACATTTCTTCTTGGGAGTGTTTTAAAGTTAGTTATTGCAAAAGCCAGAAAGACCTTAAGCAGATAGATGGCAGTATTACAATCTCGTATATGCCATTAGGATAAGTTCCAGACCATCGACATGAAGGAGTAATTGGATAAAACTACTTTTACGGATTCTATTGCGTTTAATTATCTTGTTTTTTTATTGTTTCACGACGTTTCGGGTACTTTACAGCACCCATGGTCACGGGGGACTGAGGTGATTAATGTCCCAATGTCAGAGTTAACCCGGAGTACCTTCAGCTTTTTTTATTATTAATTTTGGTCCTATCTACGTAGAATGAACTTACTGTGTCTTGAAGTCTTTCAGTGGTATGCTTGGGCTTAGTTTTAATTTTATGAATTACAGGATCCCAAGCAGGTGGTATTACCCAGCCTTCCCCTCTATTGAAATTAGGATGCCTCTTAATTTCAATAGCCTCATGTATCATCCTTGGCAGGAATTGACGTTCTTTCGCGAGAATTTGTGGTTTATCACATTTAATGTAATGGCGGGGGCCGTCTAGGATATATTCACAAACTGCAGACTTCACGGAACGTTGGTGTTTCACATCAGCTATGTGTTCTTTTATGCGGGTTTTGATAGATCGCTTTGTTTATGAGAGACCACAATCACAATCAAGCTTGTACACTTCTGCATCTTGTAGAGGAATATTGCACACACACAGTTCTTACCATCTGTCAGGTAAGAACTGACTAATCTTCTTTGACGGCTTGAAGAATGTTCTAATAGAAAGTCGTTTCAAGATGTAGCCAATCTTGTCTGTGACACCTCTGACATATGGTAGTGCAGCAGACACACGCTCGACTGTGGCCGGCTTCACGCGGTCACGGTGACGTAGGCGCGGGACCTGAAACTTGTTGTCGTGCAGAACTGTGTATAATTTTTTGTTCATTATGTGCCTGATAAAACAAGATGAGTATAATTAATGAAAAAAAAAAGATATGGTCTTAGTTTATAACTGAAACTGACACTTTTACACCATACAGAAAACCATATCTCAAATGTCGAAAACATTGCCAACCACAATTTCCATCAGAGTTACACAAACATATTGCTAGTGCTGCAATCGCCAATAATGACTATTACGACAAATTATTCCTAGCGACCCGCTCTGGCTTCGCTTGGCTTGTTTCTATTAATGTGGCATTATTCACATTTAAGATGATTAAATAGCATTTTATAATTTTTTAATTAATTTTAAGAAAAACTTCCAAATTTTTTCAATAAAATAAAGCCTAGATCACTTCTGGAATTACTTGCTATCTGTTCGTGAACTTTTTTTACAATCAGTTCAGTTTTTTAAGTGGTAGAGCCATGCTGCAGCTGTATTAATAGTATTGTTGTAGCACGAATGGGACGGCTCGACCGGGGAAAGACCACGCTCTCACACAATACCAGCGTAAAATAGCAGCTTAATGTAGCTGTGTTTCGTATGGTGAGTGTAGAGAACCGGAGACCTATTTTACTGGAAAAGAGGCATTCTATATTATTCCTCACAGGTGACAACGCATCTGCATTACGATTCGCAAACGAGGATAGATGTAGATGGATGTTGTGGGCCACAGCAACTACTTATTATCAGGTAGACTGTGTGTCAAAACATTGCCAACCACAATTTCCATCAGAGTTACACAAACATATTGCTAGTGCTGCAATCGCCAATAATGACTATTACGACAAATTATTCCTTTTAAAGATTCATGTCCAATATTACTCTTAAAGACTGATTAGAAAGTAATGTACGGAATTATGATAGATTTTAATGGCTTATTTTTGAAAATCTTTTACTGCAGGGCACCACCGCGTCGTTCATCAAGGCTCAGATTCAGTTGCAGCGATTTTTATGACAGGTAAAAAAATATATTATTACATATAATAATATCAATTGCTATAAACAAAATAGATTGACCCATTATTTTTGTTGTACCATAGTCTACCATAAATTGATTTTTATTTATGGAAGTATATTAGAGTTGCGTTATAAATTGAAGTTTATTTATAGCTATTTCTATTATGTATATAAATAACATTCATTTACATGAATTATGTAATATATAAAAATTAATGTTTTTATATATGAGATGTTCGTATTTTATGCACTGTCGTACTGTTCATCAGAATGTGTTAAATCTTTGTCGACTTATTCCTGGCACTTGCGCGAAGGTTATAGGCATAATACAATTAAAATTACAGTATGTGGTGCAGGTAACGTTACAACCAATAATTGGTTGTAACGTTACCTGCACCACATAATAAAACAATAAATTATTTATTTCAAAGTTATATATCATTTAATCTCAATGATTGTATTATCATTCCTAATTGAACAATATATAACTTCTAAATTTAAAACAATATTTCCACATTGTTTCTTCTGTAGCAGCAACAGGTGCCAGCTAGTATTTTATAAAAAAAGTACCAAAGTCACAGTTCTATTCAAGAATTTCATATTCAATATCCATTACATAATTATATCTTCATAATGACACGCATTGTCACACATTAATTAAATTATGTCTTATACAGAGATGCAGCAGGCCCTGAAGAGGGGGACGAAGCAGCATATCCTCTTGAGCAATACCCCGTTGTTGCTAATTGCACTTGTGAGAGTCCCAGCAATGTGTATGCAGCCCCCGATGATCTAACTGGTAAGCTAAGCTAACTTAGAAAGCTTATTTTTAATGAGATATTTTAACTGCAGGTGGTAGGACTCCTTTACTGCCTAATAAGTCTATTTGGGTACATACTATCCCATTATCTATTCCCGTTGCCAAACAGTAGTGTTTAGAGAGCCAGGATTGTATGCTGTGAGGCATTAGTCAGTAGAGGCGATAACACAGCTTCTTTTGTTTGAACTTGGTTACAGTTGACTATGGGCAGCAGTGGCCAGTGTGGGCACACTAAATCATACCTATACTCATTTTATTTTATTTAATTTCACAGAGCCAGTGTTTTGTCAAGCCATTGAGACAGTGGACGGCGTGAGGGTGGGATGCTCGCACGCGGCCGCGCGACTCAACGGGGAGCTGCAACCGCTACGAAGGGCTGGGCCTCGCGCTCCATACTTTCTGTCATGTCGACTTCACGCTGCTCAGTTGCAGCGACACATGTGCTGCGCCGCCTGTGGGCTGTTCTGTGCACAGGTGACTACATAATCAAAACTACCACGTTTTAATCGGCACCCTTGGCAATTTATCACCTTGGACCCTGTTTCCCATCTGCAGTCAATCATTTATATATTCAGTATTTTACATAAGTCATGTCAGCTTCCTATCTTCAGTCAGTACATAAGTCACGCCTATAATGAACGGAGTTCAAAGAGTAGACCACTTAGCCAAAAAAAAATATGGAATTAGGTGGAAAACTGGAAAAACAAAGGATTGGTGGCTATCTGAGATCCTTGGGGAACACCCATTGTATGCACAGACCAAAAATACCGGGGTTGACGAAGGGAGCAGTGTAAAATGTGCAAAACTATGAGACCTTGACTGTTCACAGGCTGATGATAACATGAGGCAATAATAGGCATTTATTTCTTGAAAGAGTTATTGATATTCACCATTCTGATATGAAGTGTTTGTGATGATATAACTAATTAAAACAACACAGTGCTTAAAAAACAATATAGTGATTACATTAAAAAAAAATATTATTCAGTGACGATATTAAGTGTAAAGTGTGAAAAGGATATTTATAACATATTTACAGTAGGCATGAGACCGATATATCAAAACGTAACTAATAACGTTATGTTATCAAATATCATATCATATCAATAAAACTAAGTACACAACAATATCCAACCAAACCCAACTACAACTAACCAACGTACGAAACGTAAAACGCAAACTGTAACGATATACCAAAACGGCCCAAAACCACCAAAACTAACCGATGTCCTTTGATATTCGTTCTAGCTACGGTATCATAAATACGTATGAAAGAGATGAAGCGAATATGGATTTCGTTGCGATGTTTTGGTAGTTATCATAAAACGGTGCATGTAGTGAAATATAATTATAAGGTGCTTAACAATAAGGTCGAATTTTAAATGGTTAAAATTGCCTAATTTTTAAGTTTTTGTAGTTGTGAGAGTTGTTAGATTTAAATGATCTTTAGGTCAAAAGACACAAGGCTTCGATTGGTATGACCTTATTATATTTGGTTTAGGCAACTGTTTGTTTATGTTTTTTTCAATTACGCACTTCGCACTTGGCCTTGGTGGCGCGTGTCGTTCACTAGGATAATAACATCTTTAAAATTATTAATTTTCAACGTTGGATTTGTGCATTATTTGCAATATTTGTGTGCATTTTGTACAGTAGTTTTAATTCAGAAAAGAGTTGTAAAGTGAAAATATAGTATAAAAAAAAAGTCCCGCTGGGTTTCTTGCTGGTTCTTCCCAGGACAGAGGTATTTTCCGAACCAGTGGTAGATAAAAAATGACTTTCAATAAGACTTATGTAATAATCGATATTGAATAAAAAATTATTCTATTCTATTCTATGGTTTAAGTTGATTTAGAGTCTAGTTATTTTTGTAAATAGACTTTCAAAATGTCGCGTAAGGCTAGTGAAATATGGTCTCATTTTGATAAAAAAGACAACTGCGTGTACCTTGCTGTTTGTAAATATTGTCAATTAATACTCACCATACGAAACAGCAGTGTTAAGCTGCTATTTTACGCTGGTATTCTGTGAGAGCGTGGTCCTTCCCCGGTTGAGCCGACCCATTCGTGTTCCAACTATACTAGAAATATAGCTGTAGCATGGCTCTACCACGTATAAACTTCTTCCAGATAAAGCCTAAAAATAATAAAACGGTGTGTGTCGTGAAGACACACGATAGAAGTGAAACTTTAGTATTACAGGAAAACATTTCAATTATTCATCAATGACATTTGAATAGCATAAATTTGTGTATATCATTTATTTATTTACATAAAAATATATACATATGTCACAGTGCATCATCTTCTTCGATCTTAAAAAGAGAAATTATCGGTTTAAGTTGTTAATTAGGTAATTATCTATTAATTATCTAATTTTATTTTAATCAAACCAAAGTTTTATATTATATCAACAAAAATTTATTTAAATTAAAATTTACAACTTGTTATTTTAAATAAACTAAGTAATGAAATTAGACGGCTCTGTGGCGCAGTAGCTTAGCGATTGAATTACAACGCTAAACTAACTAGCTAAGCTAGCTAACGGGTTCGAATCCCGCACGGAACAAGTATTTGTACAGCCTACAAATAATTGTTGTAAGCTGCCCCCCACAATACAGGAGAAAATCCTAGTGTGAAGGTTATGTTTTTTAAAAAATAAGAAAACTTTTTTTGGTTTATGCCATCTAGGATCTACTCTACGTACCACCTTGAGAGTCAAACAATTTTTGTTCGATAAAATGACTTTACTTATAGAATGTACTGGATGACGCTATTATGCGATCTCTCTTCCTAAAATAAATACGTGTACATACCTTGGTGACTGTCTTAAATAAAATTAATATAAGATTAGTATTTGAACGAAATACCGTTGTGTAATTGTAATTGTATTACTATATACTTTATGGTATGTAAATGCCCTGCGTTCGCGATTTGAACGATCGACCGAATGACCCGGTACGTAGTGTTTACCCTCACAACTTTTCGTCACACAAAAAACTTTCCCGTAAAAACTTTCACTTCCAAAAACTGCGGTTGCCAACCCGCTTGCCAAGCGTGGCAACTATGGAAAATATTCCCCCTATGATGCAATCTATGGGAGGCTTATGTTCAGCAGTGGACTTTAATACGCTGTAACGGTATAATTTATTACTGCATAACAATGAATTTACAGAAATTATATATTAACATGATGTCTAAATATTACATCTAAGATAATATTAGAATATAGACATCTAAGATAATATTTCTAACAGTGGTAGAGCCACGCGGCAGCTTTTGCTGTCGCACTGATAGGCCGGCTCGAACCGGGGTAGTACCACGACCTCACAGAAAACCAGCGTGAAGTAGAGGTTTACCTCTGCGTTTCGCTTGGTGAGTGCAGGTGGCCGGAGGCCCTTTTTACTGGAAATGAGGCATTCCATCTTAGTCCTCACGGGTGACAACGCATCTACATTTTGATTTGTAATAGAGGATAGATGTAGATGTCTATGGGCCGCAGCAACCACTTACCATCAGGTGGACTGTGTGCTCGTTTGTCACCCTTATCCTATAAAAAAAAATATAGAACTTCTGAGATCTAAACTAAAATAATCTAAGTAATTCGTAAAATAAATGTTGCACTGGTTCTACAGTTTGCGGTTATGCCTGGTATATAGTGTATTATCTATGCGGTTGTGTTTCGGTTGTCATTTGCGCATTCAGTAGCAAACCATTACTACTGATATCGATATTTGAAAACGGTTTTCAAAAACGATATGAAAACTAAATATCGGTTATGTAACCGTTGCAGTTAAAAACTGAAAACGCCCATGCCTAATTTACAGTCATTAGTGTATAGAATAGAATATTATTTGTAATTGTTTGTATAGTGTTAAGCCGACCAATCAGAGCGCGGTATACAGTAGAAAATCGCTACCGAACAACAAGAAGAAGTAGTCAACTGAAGAAGTCCTCTGAAGAAAAATAGTGAAAAACGTATTGTGACCAACCGATAGTGAACAACCGTAGTCGACAACCGATAGTCAGAAGATTTCCGCCAAACAGTTAAGCTGTAGAACCTCTGGCCACTGCCTTGCCATTCGTAGTAACAATTCGTGCATTTTGATTCCTTTCCTTTTTGACCCCAGCCGCTCCCATCGCTAGTTGATGAACCCGGAACCTATAGGTGCAGGACGTGAGCGAACATTTACTCCTCGAGTTTCGCCCGACCGGCACAAAATTTGTATGTAACTATCCCCCTTTGAGGCAATCTATGGGGGAGGTCTATGTTCAGAAGTGTACTTTGGATAAACTGTAATGATGGCATAAACGATTTCTTTATGAATAAATCATTAACACGTAAAAGAATCTCTCCCAATGTGGGAAGAATTTGCCATAATTACCACACTTGGTAGGCGCACTTTTGATCGTAGTACCAAAATTCACTTATGAGCAGTCTTTGATGCTGTTAAAGTCTGATGATGAAGTCCACCGCACGACATTGATCTTAATGTAGTAATGTAGATCAATCTAGGAGGAAATTATAATAATCGTTGTAAAGTCACGCTGCAGCTATATTATGAGCATATAGGGTCGGTTCGACTGGAGTAGGACCACGCTCTCACAGAATACCAGCGTAAAATAGCAGCTTAATGCTGCTGTGTTTCCTATGGTGAATGTAGAGAACCGGAGACCCTTTTTACTGGAAATGAGGAAATCCATCTTAGTCTTCAGGTGTGACAATGGATCTGCATTTTGATTTTTAATTGAGGATAAAATTTATGTCTATGGGCCACAGCATCCACTTACCATCAGGTGGAATGTGTCGATGGAGGTGGTCATTTGTTACCCTTATTCTATAAAAAAAGGAAGGAATAACAATAATCGTCCCGATTGTAGTACCAAAATTCTAGTACCTTTGGCACTTCTGACCGTCGCCAGTCTGAAAATTTCGTATAAATTATTCGTATAATATTAATTTTTGGTACCTTTCCAGGGTATATTCTACCAGTGCTCATTAGGGCATTTATTCCACATTGAATGTGGTATAATGGGTAGCGTGGAGCGTTCCGGCGAGGTGAAGCAGCAACCGGGCTGTCCACATTGTGGTGTGCACTCGGTGCATTGGCAACCCGCTAACAGAGATTGCAGCCGGGTGAAGATTGAGATGCACTGCAGTGGCAAGCGCGTGTTTCTGTCTGAGCAGCGTGAGCAGTCGTAAGCTCATATAATATAGTTTTTTTTTTATGTAGGGGTGACAATGCTAGCTGCAAATGTCATAGTATGTGAGGTACCCCAGGTTTAACCCATAATGACACCAATGCAATTGTTAATTGCACTTCATTGTTGATTTACCACCTTCTCTGTGATGAGGAAACGTGCATGTTTAAGAAATAAAATATTATGATAAAGTCCGCCATTATCAATCGGAGCGGCGCGGCGGTCTAATTACTACATAAATTAACTTTAATCTGCACAACACAAAGACTTTTGTGTATGCTACTAGATGGTCACCATGGCGTCGTAGTAAGTTACGGCCAATTCTCCGTTACTCCCTGAGTCGATTGCGAGCGGCCGAGAAGAATAGTTCTTTGTTTTGTAAACCGCGAACGTTGTTTTCGACAATCTACTGATTTTTTTTAATGTGACTAAGTGCTGTCATTATTTATATACGCGTTTGTCCACGTGTTTTGTATTTGCTTAAAAACAGTAACTGTCGTCAATGAAAATACAACTGTGTGGCATATTTACCGTGCTAGCTACCCGTTCAGCCGGCACCATCGCGATCCAGAGCTTCACAACTGTTCAGTTCAATTCTGTACAGTTTTGGTTCAGAATTGCTGATCTATTATTATACATAGAAGTCTGTCATAACATTTAATTAATTAATTCAATATAGGTTACCTTATCTTCAGAGCTTATTGTGTCTAGCGTGTAACTAATTCGTGAACTAGCGTGTACTAATCCTCCACAGAGAATTTTCTACTTTATTTTAACTTGATGAATTCCGAATGTGTTTATTTTGTGTTTTGCGAGGGCGCAATGTGAACTTGCCCCTTAGTACAGGGTTTACCAACCTTTTCTTGAAAGGTTTTTGATTTTTTTTGTTAGCAGGGACAGGTGAATGGAAAAACGGTGTTAATCAAACAATAATTTATAATCACAACTTCTGAATAGAAGCATTGATTAATAGTATTATTTGTGTATTTAATGTAAATGCTAGTAGGTACTCACTAAAGTAACGCGCGGTATTTCACTGCCTGCATGACGAGAAAATAAAAAATGTGTTATTTAGAACAATTAGGTAGGTAAAATATTTAAATCTTTCGCGGACCACTGGTTGGGAATCACTGCTTTAATATCATAACTGTCCATCTTCATTTATTTCATCAGTCAATGAGGCTGAAGAACCGATATATTCCCTGGGATTGAGCTAATTTTTTGGTGGCTAGGCATTGTTAGGAGAGGAGAGCATGCATCATCTATGAAACAGGAAAAGTTCACTGCGCGGCGGACTACAGGTGTCCTTGAAATATTTATAATCTGTCAGTCATTCAGGTTTCTTCATGATATCTTCCCTCACCGCAGATCACGTAATGAATCAGCTCATAAGATTTCAGTTGTGCCTGCAACTCAGATTACTGATGTACCTACATCTAGATGAAATTAAAGGCGAATACATATTCGGATTCGGTGCAGCCCGGGGGGGGGGGGGGGTTACTAAGTCAGTTGCGTTGATATTTTATTTAGCATGACCCTCGTATGCAGATTAAATAACATATATTGTTTTCAGGACTCCAGCCTATGTCACTTTCCCCAAAATAGATCCATCTGTTATGGATCAAGGCCCATTCATCCCTGAGGACTTGCTGCCTTCTCCACCAGTGGACTTAAAAAAGTTGTGTAAAGAAAGCAGTATTGAGAGTGAAGAAACTCAGGCTTCAAAAATAGAGGCTTTACACGACGCTATTATTGCTGGAGAGACCGCAGAGCAGTTAATACCTAAAATTGGTAATTATCCGTCGTTTTTATTATTTTTTACAAAAGCTATTTAATGCTATTTATGCATGGTAGAGCCAAATTGCAGATATATTATCTTTCTAGCACTAATGGGTCGGCTCGACCGGGGAAGCTCCAAACTCTCACAGAATACCAGCGTAACATAGCAGCTCAATGCTAATATGGTGAGTGTAGAGAACCGGAGATCCTTTTTACTGGAAACGAGGCATTCCTTTTTAGTCTTCAGTGGTAATAACGCATCTGCATTTTGATTCATAAACGAGGATAGATGTAGATGTCTATGGGCCACAGCTACCATTTACCATCAGTTAGACTGTGCGCTCGTTTGTCACCTTTATTCTATAAAAAATGTTGGCATTAATTGAATTTGATATATTGTCCTACAGTTGCGGCGAAAAGCGACGGCTTAGATGAAGCAATGTGTATTGCAGCGAGCCATGGACGAGTTGGAGCGCTATATTTGCTTCATTTTGCTGGCGCAAAGCTAGACGCTGTTGATTCGACACAGCGTACTCCGCTTCTGAGAGCGATTCTTGGTAAGAACTCATTATAAACGCATTAAGCGCTCTTTTTTAATTGAATTTGGCTATTTCTTAATATTAATCGATTCTCAGCTACACCAGAAAGATGTAAAATTATTGTAAATAAATTGTCATATTGTAAATAGTAAATATTGTAGTATCAGGCCGTTTGGTGGCATTGTAGGAGAGAAATGAAACAGGAGATAGGCAGCAACATCTTCCTCATAACAAATAAAAATAATAAAAAGTTCTAGTTCCCAACTCGTCTGAAAAACGTTACTATAGTTATAGTTGCTACTATAGCAAATATGCCACAAATCTATGGGGGTGGCCTATGTTCAGCAGTAGAATTTTGATAAACTGTAATGCAATCCAACATTATATATTTAGAGCTTATAACACTTAGCATTTGCCTAACATAATGATTTTATTATATAATTAAAATGTTCATTCAACAAATTAAACACTAAGCTACCATGTACTTTCTACATGTATACATATTATTAAATGCCTTCATCAAGAAGTTGAATTTTTTTTATAGCAGAGAGGCAAACGAGCGTGCGGCTCACCTGATGGTAAGTGACTACAGCCGCCCATAAACAACTGCAACATCAGGGGAATTCTAGATGCGTTGCCGGCCTTTTAAAAAAGAGGAGGCTCTTTTCTTGAAGATCCCTAAGTCATATCGATCCGGAAAAATCTCTGGTGGTACTAGATTACACAAGGAAGTTGTGCGAGGAAGAAAACTTCTAAATCGTTCAGTGGTGGACCGCCAATCATCCAGATGGTATGGATGGCATCGCGAGTTTGGTCGCGATGTGCGATGTCGAAATTGAGCGGCTGGAATTAGTTCGAACAATTCCTCAGAGCACTCCCTGTTGTAGATGCGATAAAATACGCAAAGAGATGCAACATCTCTTCCCACTGCCAGTGAGTCAAGTTGATCGGAAAGAATTCGGTCGTTGACGAATGTTGAATGTTCTTGTTCTTTAGATCTATGTGGAAAAAATGCTCACGAATGGAAATCTTAGAAACTACTACAAGTAATATTTATTGTTAATATTACTCTGTATTCCTGATATATTACGTGTAATGAGCAATTTCATTTTAACAGCATTATTAGAGAAATCTAAAACAAAAGCCGATGAAGCTGAAAAAGACAATGATGGTCCAAAAACGGAAGCGATTGAAGTAGAAAATAATGAAACAGAAGAGCAAAAAGATGAAGGTGGTAACGAAACAAAAGAAGAGGAACAAAAGAATGAGACTAAAGAACTGAAGGCTCCTGTTGTGAACACAAGCGATGATGATCTAATGAAAGTAATAAGATACTTGGTGGCCGCTGGTTGTGATGTCAATCTTCCTGTAAGTGAATTTAATAATATTTCAAATATAAATTCAAATTTAAATGAAAATAATTTTTTTATTAAATTCAAGTAACAATAAGTTATCTGTTACAAAATTTTCAAAGTACATAACAACTTATGTGTACTGGCGTGATTGCGTGTGCGTGTGTGCGTGTGTGCGTGTGCGTGTGTGCGTGTGTGCGTGTGTGCGTGCGTGCGTGTGTGTGTGTGTGTGTGTGTGTGTGTGTGTGTGTGTGTGTGTGTGTGTGTGTGTGTGTGATCGTGTGCGCGTGCGTGTGTGCTTGTGTGGATATCTATTTGCTTTGTTATCTCTTTCTCTTTTTTCTCTTTTTAAGAAAACGTTACCCCCACACTAGGATATTCTCCTGTATCGTGGAGGCAGTTTACAAACATAAATTGCACAAGGACAAACATCCAGACCCGGAACAATTATTTGTAGGCCATACAAATACTTGTTCCGTGCGGGATTCGAACCCGCAGCCCCAAGCGCTGCGACTCATTGCTAAGCCACTGCGCCACGGAGCCGTCAATCTAGTCGGCTACTTACCATACCTTACTATTACAGTCTATTAAAAATCCACTGCTGAACATAGGCCTACCCCATGGGTTGGCCACAGTTGCCACGCTTGCAATGGCAGTTTTTATTTAGCTGTTATCAAAAAGATCATTTCCTGGTTTGTTTCCCTTTGTAGCCGCTTATGACAACTGTAAATGTATATAATACATATAAATAAAATTGAACAGTTTGTCTGTAAAGGCGAAATAATTGCCCTTTATAGAGCTGAGGGAGGTTATTTTAATTTGAATAAATAACTAGGTCTTGGCTGAACTAGGCTATATTTTATCAACAACACCAAGGACAATTTGGAGATTTTTTTAAAAAACAAAACGAAGAATTGTTAAGATAAATTATCTTTGATTATCTTAAATATATATAACGCCACATTAATAGAGTACATAATAAACGTATAAACATTTTATTTGCATGGTTTTGAATTAACAGCATATATACTTCCCACACAGGGCTCTCATTTCTGAAACGGTTTTTAGGCAGAAAAAAGTCTGCGCACTGGCAGACTTCATTTTTCGTTATTTTCTTAGATATGTGGGTATCCTTATAATGTTTTATTTTCCATAAATCAGCATTTAAAGAAATTAACAATTTCATTGGTGCCCACGGATATCGCACTTATACGTACTTTAAAAATTTTAAGAGAGTTACTACATTTTGTGTTACGGGTCGTATATGTTTTTTAATTATAGAAATCTAACTTAAAACAGAATACGACAAAGTTTCGAAATACTTAAAAACATAGCAAATGATATTAATAATTAGATGGATTGACCTAGTAAGAGGAGATCCAGGAAGTCGATGGATGCAAGTGGCTCGGGGCCGTGTTTTGTGGCATTTCTTTGGGCGGCTTATTTTCAGCATGCATCATGTATAGCCACGCTTCAATTATACAGGGTTATGTTGCAAAGAGTAGCCAAATTTTAAACTTAAGTTCAAATACAGTTTTTGAAAATACGAGTAAATAAGACTTCTATTTTAATTTGAAATTATTTCAAAATGAATGTGATTTATGGGCAACACTGTTGCCAACTCTACGGATTTTTCCGTAGCTCTACGGAGTTTTTTCATCGTCTACGAAACTACGGAATTTGAGTTGAAATCTGCGGAATTTGATTTCCATGTTAATTAAATTTTTTCTACTTCACAGTCTTTTCAGAATAATTAGATTTTTAAAACCTTAACAAAAAACATTTTTGTCATGAATGTGGACTTAGCCGACAACAGACTATCGAAAATTTTAACAATCGATATCGCAGCGGAAAATTGATTATCAAATTTTTGCAATCCAGGCTTCCTCAATTGTTTTGACAATTATTAAAAAATTCTGCCGAATAAGTCTTCGCTTTTCCTCGATTTTTTTTTTCGAATTTCTCAAAAGTTGCTAGTTATTCACTGTTACATATTATAGTTTTTCACTGTTACATAAATTACCCAAGTCTGAAACACAGTAATTTATCAAATAAACTAACAAGAAATTTCCACAAATATTTAAAAATAATTTGTTTAAAAGAAAACAATAAATTTTTAAAGGTATTTTTTTCTTATATGTGCATCTTGATTCGATGCTACTACAATTGAACTTCAACAAGAATTATACATAGAAAGAATTTCTCCAAAACAATTGATCTATAATTCTATGACAAAAACAAAAAATTTCGTTTTTGTCTTCAGTATGCAGATCTACAGATATTTTGAAATAGCATCTACGGAATTCTACAGTCTACGGATTTGGAAAAATTCGAGTTGGTAACACGTGTACGCCCGCTTCTCTGTGTGAGATTCTATCGACAACGTTTTTGCCGACCAATCTACCCTTACGAATGTGTGCGTGCGTAGTAAAATCAGTTAAAATAATGCATTACTACGATTTTGATTTTCTAACAATGAGGACAGAATGTTTGATATTATATTTAATAAATTTTTCTTCGCCATTCGCCTCTATTACTTATTCTGAATCTTCTCTGCAAATTTGTCGGGTTATTTCAAAATAACCCTGTATTATTGTTGCAGTAGCATGGGTTGTCTCGACTGAGGACGTGCCACTCTCTTTCTGAATACCAGCGTGAAATAGCAGCTTAGTACTGCTATGTTTCGTATTGTGAGTGTACAGAACCGGAAACCCTTATTATAGGAAATGAGGCATGCCATTTCAGTCATTAAGAGTGACAATGCATTAGCATTTTTAATCCTAATTGAGGATAGATGTAGTTGTCTATGGCCTACAGCATCCACTTATCATTATCGTTTGCTCTTTTGTCACCATTATTTAACAAAAAGCAGTGAACATGTGATGGGCTGTAATGATGATGAATAAATATAATTTAGACCAGAATTATTTTGACAGGGTCCAGATGGTATGTCGGCGCTGCACATAGCAGCTCAATATGGTGGGTCTGCAGTTTGCAAATTACTGTTAGACGACGGTCACGCCTTAGTGGACGCGCGAGACGTCGGTGGCTGGACACCACTCGTCTGGGCTGCGGAGAATTCACACTCTGATGTCGTCAGGTCAGTAACAAAATTCTTAGTGTAAAGCTTACGATATACTCATGAATTAAAAACATTTTGGTCCCTGTTATCATCAACAAAGTGAGCCCGAATTATCGACCGGTGTATGGCTCAGTCTATCTGTCAATAATTATTTCTAGGCAACATTTAAATATTCTTTTGTGAAAGTTTCTACTCTGTGTTATGTTTGACCACAGACTATTATGCGTTTGACATTGACGTTATGAATGTAAACAATGAATGTTTTATTTTATTTAATATATTTGTAGGCGCGTCTGTAAAATACCGGTTGGATCGAGAGTGAGCGAGAGGTTGCGTCACTCTAGTGGAGCGTCATATCGATGGTGGCGAGTTTGAATTGAGGGTTTTTCGAGAAACCCCCTTCCACTCGTTTGTGTAGTAGTTCAGTGTAGGTGCAGAGCGCAAGGGATTCCTCTTGAGTCATTCTACGAGTGATGTCATTCTAGGCATGCTAAGATAGTCGTAGTTATATCCATTGTAGTGATTCTTCTGATGCAGGCAAGTAGGATGGCGGTGCTGAAAGGATGTGCTGTGTTACATTTAGATGGGTAGTGTTGCTGTTAGTTTGCATACTTTGGTGTTATCATGTGATTATGTCCTTCACGTTACACCAGTAAGTAAGTGTGACGAGGTCATATTACGGTATGGTCAAAATGTAATTGACTATATACTGAATGTATAGTGCAGTAAAATGTTTCTTTTCTTTGGTAATGGACTGGTACTGCTGTAATTTTTCCAGTGTCAAGTATATTAAGAAACTATCATATATAATAATTATTTATTAAAAAAATTCTTCACAACATGTTGATACCTCACATTGTGATGTTTTGGGAGATTTTGAGGGCAGCTTCAGCCAACAGACAGATGATGACGATTGTATCACAAGGCGTCTAAGTAAGACACATTATCTTGAGGTTCACATCACCATCTGAGTACTTACTTCATCATTTCCACTAATAGTTCACATGCGTAGAGATTTAATACACAAAAAAATCGCACTGTGTATTTGGACACAGCCATGTGTTTGACGTGTCGTACGTACTTTTTACGTAAATAATAACCATACATTCTGCCTAATAGACTGTGTTGTGGGTACCAAGTGGTGTACATATGTGTGTGTGGGTGTTGAGGTCTTTCAGAAAAGTTTCAGGTCCTTCACCTTCATTTGTTTTAGCACTATCCTTGAAAATTCTAAGTTGTTTTGGGTTTAATCCTCAGGCTGGCAAGTTTCCTGTAATTATATCTTATATTTCTTATTGATAACGCCATTTAGCAAATTAATTTTTAAATCCAATAACATACTTGGTACATATCTTTAACCCCTCCCTTCTCTAATCCTTCCTATATGCACGTACAGCCGTTGAAGACGACGCAAGCGCCACGCAGCGGCAATTAGTTGCATCGATTAATAACCGCGATCGCACGACGGACATTGCGTCTTTCGATCTCCTCTTTAATATTACTTATCACCGGACATTGAGTTATAGTAATTTCACGAATGTGATGCGCCTTCCGCGACTACAATTAGTCGAGTTAAGGAGTATGTGACATCTCAGAACTGTTTTAAGAGTGCGTGCGCCGATCCACGTGGCGGACCTGCTGTGTTAATTGAAACTCCGAGAGGAAGGCGAGGCAGCCTCTCACAAGGTTAGTGCGTGCTTTCCACTCTCCTTGCTCTGCATGTTGTATGTATCAGTCCACAAATCTTTATCGAGGGAAACTCACGTTACTGGCGCGTCCATTTTGTTTGGTTACTTCCGGATTGACCTTCCGGCCTTGGTAGGACACTAAATAAGCCCTAAGAAGTGACATCAGTAATCATTATTATAGACCACATTTTGTTTGGCCACTTTGAGCATATTCACATTTATTGATCTCTTGCCCATATTACACCATCGTACTCGCCACCTATCACCTCGGGTGCGCGTTCGGACGTCGCGCTGTGTACTTCGTTCACGTATGTTTCTCAGCATTTGGCGCCTCCTGCGCGCGCAAATCATTCGCAGAGTACTGTTTTACTATCAACCGCTCAAGTCTTTGCATATGACGCTAGGGGAGTGAAACAAATAATTCTAATATTATTGGACTCCGCGTCTCAAAGCCATTATAATAAATATAATGGCTTTGAGATGCGGAATTTTTTGCAGTTATTTATAACTAAGGAATGCTGTCATCGTTTATGCGTTCAATAATATGATACCGCATCTACTATATTAAAGGTATTCTTATTAAGGTGGAGTAGAAAAAATCGTTAAATCAAAATCAATCAATATTAACATTTTCTCATGTTTCGTCTCTAATATTAGCTTTAATATTTCACCGCTCGTTGTTCATGAAATCACTGACCGTATGCCCACTGCTGTGGTACTCAGTCTTACGCACGAATTCGTCGGCTCGACTGGGGTAGTAGGTAATAGCAGCATATTGCTGCTGTGTTTCGTATGGTGAATGTAGAGAACTGGAGACCCTTATTACTGGATACGAGGCATTCCATCTTAGTCCTCAGGGCTGACAACACATCTGTGTATTGATTCTTAATCGAGGATAGATGTAGATGTTTATGGGCCACATCATCCACTTTTTTTTTATAGGAGAGGGGGCAAACGAGCATGCGGCTCACCTGATGGTAAGTGACTACCGCCGCCCATGAACAACCGCAACACCAGGGGAATTGCAGATGCGTTGCCGGCCTTTTAAAAATGAGTAGGCTCTTTTCTTGAAGGTCCCTAAGTCGTATCGGTCCGGAAAAATCGCTGGTGGTAAACTATTCCACAAGGAAGTTGTGCGAGGAAGAAAACATCTTCTAAATCGCACAGTGGTGGACCGCCAATCATCCAGATGGTGTGGATGGTATCGGGAGTTCTGCCGCGATGTGCATTCGTGAAATTTGGCGGCTGGGATTGATCCGAACAATTCCTCAGAGCACTCCCCATGGTAAATGCGAAAGAAAATGCAAAGAGATGCAACATCTCTTCGCAGTGCCAATGAGTCGAGCCGATCGTAAAGGACTCGGTCAGCGACGATTCGAGCCGCTCTGCGCTGGATGCGGTCAAGTGGAAGGAGCTGGCACTGGGGAGCCCCAGCCCAGAGATGGGAACAGTATTCCATGTGAGGCCGAACCTGCGCCTTGTAAAGTTGCAGGCGTTGAGCTGGCATGAAATACTGTCCCGCTCTGCTGAGCACGCCAAGCTTTTTAGTGGCCAATTTGGCCTTCTCTTCCAAGTGACCACGAAACTGCACGTCACTCGATATGTCGACGCCGAGGATTCCGATACTGGCTGAGGCAACAAGGAGATACGACAAAGGGGTTCTTTTTAGCGGTAAACGCGCAAACTTGTGTCTTCTGAGGATTAAACTGGACTAGATTTAGTCGCCCCCAATCCGAGACTTTGTCCAGCAAAGACTCGACTTCAGACACAAGTTTGTTCCGGTACTCGGTGACGTTTTCCCGAGAAATATTGGCACGGCCGGTGTATAGAGCATCACCAGTGCTGTCATCCGCATAGCAATGAATGCTACTGGCTTGCAACATATCATTGATATGCAGAAGAAACAGCGTTGGTGATAGCAGCCTTGTGGAACACCAGCATTAATAGGCTTGTAGTCGGAGCATGCACCGTCTACAACGACCTTGATGCTCCGATCTGCAAGAAAGCTGGTGATCCAATTGCATAATTTCTCGGGAAGCCCATAGGAAGGCAGCTTCGAAAGAAGCGCTTTGTGCCAAACCCGATCGAAGGCCTTCGCAATGTCCAAACTAACGGCCAATGCCTCCCCCTTGGACTCTACTGCCTCCGCCCATCTATGAGTTAAGTAGACCAGAAGATCACCAGCTGATCGACCCCGACGAAAACCGTACTGGCGGTCACTAATCCTCAAGGTACCGCATGAGGTGGCAGTTTATAACAGATTCCATTATTTTGGAGAACAAGGGGGTGATGGCGATAGGCCTGTAGTTGGACGGGTCTGAGCGGTCGGCTTTTTTAGGGATCGGGTGGACAAAAGCTGTCTTCCATGATTTCGGGACTACGCCTAGGGAGTAGGAGTACCGGAAAAGACGCGTTAGAACCGGTGCCAACTCCGGAGCACACGTCCTCAGCACAATTGGGGGGATTCCGTCAGGCCCACTCGACTTGTGGATGTCAAGGGAGAGGAGTGTTCTGCGAACCGAGCGCTGTGTGAACCGCACATCCGGCATGGCGCACTCACACCGCGGGATGGTCGGCGGTGTATTCCCCCCGTCATCAACAGTCGAGTTGGACGCAAAAAGGAAGCCTAAAAGGTCGGCTTTCTCTTTTGCATCGTGGGCCAGTGAGTCGTCCTCCCTGTGCACAGATGGTAGTGATGGCTTACAGAAATTCCCTTGGACAGCCTTGGCGAGAGACCAGAATGCACGGGTTCCCGAAGGAAGGCGAACTAGTTTCTCGCCAATTCTGCCTATGTGCTCTGACTTTGCCTTGGCAATAACACTTTTGAAGGACCTGGAGGCGAAGTTATACTTCTTTTTAAGTATGCTGGTGTTTACATTCCGAGTCGCCGAAGCCGCAGCCCAGGCTTGATAACACTCCTGTTTACTGCGTAAAGCAGTCTTACAGGACCGACCAAACCAAGGCTGAGATCTGCCTCCGATGGGTACCACAGATGATGGAATAAATAGTTCCATTCCCTGTAGCACCACATCAGTGACAGAGTCGGCAACAGCGCTGGGATCATCCGGCGAGAAGCAAACCCGCCCCCATGGGTAGGAAGCAAAGAAAAACCGCATTCCGTCCCAATCTGTCGACCTGTATGTAATGCCAAACACGGCGGCAACCTACTGAACGCAACCGCGAGGGGAGCGTGAGTGGCACCACACTCCGGATCAGACAATGGTCCGAAGAGCCAAGAGGGGCATCGACGGAAACCTGATATCCGTCCGGATGAGAGGTCAGCAGAAGGTCCAACAGGGAAGGTGTATGATCCTCAACATCTGGAATCCGCGTAGGCGATGTAACCAGTTGTGTCAGACCATATGCCAAGGCAAAGTTATAAACAGATCTCCCCGCATGATCGGTTAAACGTGAACCGAGCCATTCGGCGTGATGGGCGTTAAAATCGCCAAGGATCACGATCTCTGCGGATGGGACCTGTTGTAGCAAGGAATCTGTAGCCATTTGGACGTGGTCGATGAGTTGGTCTGTTTCGGCATTACCGCTATGGGACCTATAGAGGCACACGTAGACGCGCGGATAGTCATCGCTGTCTACGCGTAGCCAAAGGATGGACAGGTCCGAACCTTCAAGACTGCCGAGGCGTCGAGAACAGATGTCCTCTCTGACATACACGCAAACTCCAGCCCGAGGCACAAAGGAGTGCTCCAGTTTGTACCCCGGGCAGGAGAGATACGAAATATCAGCCGGAGAGGACACCTGCGTCTCGGTCAGAAAGAGCAAGGTCGGCTTCGCCGTCTCGAGATGGTAGTGGACGGCGTTTAGGTTCGAATGAAGTCCCCTGATGTTGTAGAAATTCACGGATAGCGTGGCAGGGGTCGCCTTGGTCTTGTTGCTGAGTTTGCCCCGAGCAGTTATTGTGTTGAGCGGAATTTTGCCCCCCCCCCCCCCCCCAGAATACGCGGGGCAGCCTGAGCACCCACGCTCAGGAGTGGAATAGCATGGTTGTGGATGCTCAGCGAGGGATTCTCCAGGGGTACTGGTACCCTCCTGGGGTAGTTTATGACGTAATTCCGCTACCATGTTGATGTGGGGGGGGGGGAATTGGGCCTCCGGTCACCTGCACTCACCAGACGAAACGCGGAAGCAGAGCTTCCACTTCACGCCGGTATTCTGTGAGGTCGTGGTACTAACCCGGCTCGAGCCGGCCCATACGTGCAACAGCAAAAGCTGCTGCGTGGCTCTACCACTTACCATTAGGTGGACTGTGTGCACGTTTCTCACATTTATTTTATAAAAAGAAATGTTTAATGCAGAATACTGTTGGACCATGGAGCGGACGCAGTGGCGTTGGACAAGGAAGGCAACGCGGCGGTGCACTGGTGCGCGCTGCACGGCGACGCGCGCGCGCTGCGCCTGCTGCTGCACGCCGCGCCGCACGCGCACGCCGCGCTCAACGCGCACGCCGACACGCCGCTGTGAGTGTTGCGACAGCGCGCTTGCTCGAAACTATCGATACCTCCATATCGATAATATTTACATCGTTACACTCCTTCACAAGTCCAGCTGAATAATGTCTTCCCCAAGTAATAAGACTCTTGAACGAATTTCGAATCGATATACAGAAACCTCAGAGATGTCTCCAACCAAGGGTGAACTGTTTTTTTATTTTACTTATGATTTATTGTGTATTCTTTTTATCATTATTTTTTAAATGTGGCATAGTATGCACGGTGCACGCCATCTAGTCTACAAGGGGTAATCCAAAATTAATGATAATCTTATGTACCCACTAGATCAAACATAAGAAATCATATATATTATAAGCTACAATTCCGGGAAGTACATTCACTTGAATACGAATCATCGAAGAGATAACATAAATGGAGAAAAACGAAATTAGAGCTGTTATTAAATAGCTAAAATTTAACAAAATGTCTACCAAAGTCACATACAGCGACTTGGTAAAAACATTGGGAGACTGCTTCTCCATATGCATGCACTGACTACAAGCCTATTAACGCTGGTGTTCCACAAGGCTGTGTGCTATCACCAACGCTGTTTCTTCTGCATATCAATGATATGTTGCTAACTGGTAACATTCATTGCTATACGGATGACAGCACTGGTGATGCTCTATACACCGGCCGTGCCAATATTTCTCGGGAAAACGTCGCCGAGTACCGGAACAAACTTGTGTCTGAAGTCGACTCGACTTTTTGCTTTTTGCTGAACAAAGTCTCGGATTGGGGGCGACTAAATCTAGTCCAGTTTAATCCTCAGAAGGCACAAGTTTGCGCGTTTACCGCTAAAAAGAACCCCTTTGTCGTATCTCCTCAGTTTCAAGGCACTCCCCTTCTTGCTTCAGCCAGTATCGGTATCCTCGGAGTCGACATATCGAGTGTTCGCGCCAAACACTTTCAAGGATTGACGCTAGAGGGTGCTCGGCGCGGTGCATTCATACCGGTTTGACATTCCGTCGTGCGAAAAGCGCACAAGGGCTGTCGGTCGTCTTTAATCGGTGCTGACGTGAGCACGCGGTCCATTCTGTTAGGGAACTCGGAATAATTCGGCGCGGCCAGTAAATATACGGTCTATCATTGTGACGCGCATTCCTGCTGGAGAGCTTCCCAGGGACTCATTGTGTTTGACTCAAAACCTGCATAAGTGCATTCGGCAATATTAGATAGTGCGGCCTCTGATATTGCTACGCGAAACGGTAGTGACCTTTGACCCTTTAAACTCCGTGTGCGTTTGTGCGGTAACCATAATACCCAGCGATAGTTAGTGGCTTCTGTAAGTTAGTAAATCGTACGATAGAGTTAATTGACTGTCATCGTGAAGAAAGAGGAAAGTGACTGTGGACGGACGCCTCGGAGGGCCCCCTCAAGTTGGAGCGGTGTAGATGCTCGGACTGCTACCGACGGCCAAGGTCTAGGTTCAATCACCATCAGTCACACCCAGATACACATCACATCACTTATTTCCCTTTCACTACACAACCACATGTGACCTGACCGACTCCGGAGGGACCAGTCGCCTTGGATATAGGTAAGTAAGCTTCGTCCAAATTCCTTCCGGCCGACTGGCCGTAGTGTAACGCTCCCCATATATTTTAGTGTAATTAGAGAGATTCCACGTGGCCACGATTAAGGCCCGACCTACGTCTGCTCGGGAGGTCTTCAGCTCATGGGCCCCTGGGGATCTGATCCTTTAAGGGAGCAGCCGTAGGCCGTAACATCGAGTGACGTGCAGTTTCGTGGTCACTTGGAAGGGAAGGCCAAATTGGCCTCTAAAAAGCTTGGCGTGCTCAGCAGAGCGGGACAGTATTTCATGTCGGCACACCGCCTGCAACTTTACAAGGCGCAGGTTCGGCCTCACATGGAATACTGTTCCCATCTCTGGGCAGGGGCTCCCCAGTGCCAGCTCCTTCCACTTGACCGCATCCAACGCAGAGCGGCTCCAATCGTCCACGACCGAGCCCTTTCCGATCGGCTCGATTCATTGGCACTGCGAAGAGATGTTGCATCCCTTTGCATTTTCTTTCGCATCTACCATGGGGAGTGCTCTGATGAATTGTTCGGATTAATCCCAGCCGCCAAATTTCACGAACGCACATCGCGGCAGAACTCCCGATACCATCCACACCATCTGGATGATTGGCGGTCCACCACTGTGCGATTTAGAAGATGTTTTCTTCCTCGCACGACCTCCTTGTGGAATCGATTACCATCAGCGATTTTTCCGGACCGATACGACGTGGGGACCTTCAAGAAAAGAGTGTACTCCTTTTTAAAAGGCCGGCAACGCATCTGAAATTCCCTCCCTGATGTTGCAGTTGTTCGTGGGCGGCGATAGTCACTTACCATCAGGTGAGCCGCATGCTCGTTTGCCCCCTCTCCTATAAAATAAAATATATAATATATATATATATATATATATATATATATATATATATATATATATATATATATATCAAAGTTGCATGCTGGGCCAAAGAGTTTAAGCCCATCCACATCCGTCACTGAAGATAACGTGAAAAAAGTCGAAGACGGCTTATCAGATCGAAGAGTGGCCTTCAGGCATTTGCTGATGTCACAGGAATCTCATATGGCAGTGTTTAAAGAATCCCTGCGAACAAATTGCATATAAAAGAGGTCTCTGCGCGTTGAGTACCGAGAATGTTAATCGACGAGCAAAAGAAAAAATGAGTCGACATTTCGATAATGAGTCTCGGAAGGTTCCAAGAAGGTCAGAAAAATTTCATACTATGGACGCGACCGAGATCAACCATTTTGATCCTGAAACCAAACAACAATTAATGGTTTGGAAACGACTCTTCTCACAGACGCCGAAGAAATTCAAAGTGTCAAGTTCGGCGGGAAAGGATATGGCTTCCGTTTTTTTGGGACGTTGAAGAAATAATTATGATGGAATATTTGGAAAGCGGAGTCACTATTTCTGACTCTTACTATGCAGGTAAATAAGAAGATTGCGGGAGGCTATTAAGAAAAAAAGATACAGCAAACTGCGAGCTGAAGTACTGTTTCACCAAGACAACGTTCCGGCTCACAAAGCCGCAGTTGCGATGGCTGCCGTTCCAGAAACGGGATTTGAACTGCTCAAACACCCGCCCTATCTATTCCTGGATTCAAGGAACACTTTCGAGGCAAAAATTTAGCAGACGATAGCGAAGTGATGGACGCTGATGAGGCTTTTTTCGAGGATCAAGATAAAGACTTTTTTCTAAGGTAATTCTGAGTTTAGAAAAAAAGTTGGACTAAATGCACTGACTTGTTAGGAGACTATGTAGAAAAATATTTTTTTAACTATAATCACGGTGTTTAATATTCATTATTATTACTTTTAGATCACCCCTCGCATGTAGCTAAGGACGTCCGCTGCGTTATGCGGGATCCACTGCGTACACGCAGCGGACTCTGCAAAGCGCGACAGTTGCACCCGCCGCGGATGCCACTGTCAACCTATCGCCGCTTTTATTACTTGACCATGCACGTGTACTACAGTCGTGCTATACATAATCGATTATCTATTAATTTATTATAGACGAGCATCTGCGTCGTTAGAATTTATTTGCCGTATACCATGTTAACTGTATATTCACAGTATATTATCCTATATTTCAAAGTATTGGAGAAGCAAATGGTCTAACTCTAGTTTCACTCTAAATTTTGAAGAAACAGACACGGGCGCTGGTACCCACGTTCGTGTCCCGCTTAACGCAACGTACATCCTAAGTCACGTTCTACCCTCGCCGTAGAAGTTTGTTCCATTATGTTATTTTATTGCATAATTTCACGTAATAAATTTAATTATTTATTTACAGGCATGTTGCGGCCCGTCAAGGCCATTATGCATGCGTGGTCATATTACTCGCGAGAGGAGCTAGGGTAAGTTTATTCTTACCTAACATATTAATATACCAAATTAAAACTCAATCATAATACAAACACCAAACCGTGGATTCTTGTAAGCACTTATTTAGATATTTCTATCTGAATTCTTTACACACGCACGCACATACACATACTCGAACGTCCGCACACATGCCCCACACACATAAATCCATAGAAGATCTGCAACATGCATATAATATACTCGTATATCAGATTGATCCGACATTGTAAAGCCTATCCGAGCAATGATGTGCGTATAAGATAATTTTGAATGAAAATGAAAGAATAAACCTGGTTTATCTTTTTATATACTTGTAGATAATAAACAAGTAGTTCACGGTAATATAACAGGATAAGGCCAATACTGATATCGGAAATACACTAGGAAAAGGTTAATTGTTATAAATAGTAAAAGTGATAAAAACACAATTAATCATTATCAGTAATAAAACGGCGTAACGCACTATAAATTCCACATAGAGCAATTGCAGTTCGACCGCATCGTGACACGTCCCTGCTACAATCACACACCATCTTCTTCGCGTGTACCAGAAGAGACCCCCCACGGACATAATCACGATGCTGTCTTAGCACTCGCAGCATGACTTCACTCGTAGAATGACAAGCATTCGGCACTTCCAATTAACCGTATACTTCACAAATGAGTGGGGGTTTTCTAATCTACCCTCAATTCTATCCCGCCGCCATCGATATGACGCTACGCTTGTCCGTTACCACTGCGAACTGGTGGTAATTAAACATGAGAGTGACTTTCAATAAGTATTATTTATAATCTACATTGACTTAAAAAGTTTCTGTTTCTGTTAAAGTGATGCAACCTCTCGCTCACTCTCGATCCATCCGGTATTTTACACACACCGACATACGTATATAACTCTTCTTTCCGTGTGTATGTGACTTAACTCCTAAACAGCTGTGTGCGACCTAAATTTTGTGTGTGTGTGTGTGTGTGATTAAGTTGATTCGGGAATGGTTTAGATTTACAATTGGACCCGGTAGGTGGCGCTGTTGTCGTGATCGTGATCTCATACGGATCGCTAAGAACGTTATAAACTTTGGGTTTTCCACAGACGGACATGGAGAATTCTGCAGGTGAGCTGCCAGTGGAAGTGTGCTCAGGCCAATGTCAGACGGCTATCTCTATCAACATGCAAATGGCTCTCGCCGTCTCCGACAAACCTTTGCGATGCCGATTACTATCAAAGTACGTTTAACAGCTTGAGCATTATTTAATTAGTTTAAAGATTGAAGACAACTTAGATAGCAGTATGGATAACAGTTTTTTGTGAAAATAAATACCATAGTTTCATTTTAACTTATTGTAAATTTCATGAGGTCACGGGGTACTGACTGACATATTTGACGTCATAGGCAACTTACTTTCACCTTATAATTTAGTAATTAGTTTTGTTCAAGATCGATAGGATAAAATAGTAGTGTCTGTTGAGTTTATTCGTCACATACTAAATGAAAAAAAATTTGTTTGTTCGCCTTTTTTAAAAAAATTAGAAAATTGTGCATTGTTGCAGGTGGGCTGCAATGAGAGAGTTGAAAAAGTTTTAATACTCATTAAAAATAGTAGCAACTGTTTCTGTATGGTTGCATTTTTTTAAATACTAGTAGCACTGTTAACATTACTAATACTCCCATTAACCACTGCAAGCAAGCTTGCAATGTTTGTGTTGGGATTGGTTTACGACAGTAGTGGGGTGGCGTATTCGAACCCATGACTTTCCCCAGATTGCATTCCGTGTCCTTCAAACTATTTGGCCACTGTTGCTTCATAGGTTGTATATTTGTGATTAGGCTAATCATAAGTGTACAGCCAGTATTCAGATATAATTCGATCGGGTTTTATATTGTTTTATTTTGTACTGAATTGCTTACATAATATCTGGGGTACACTGGAAGTTTTGCGTAACCCTTAAATAGGACAATTTATGTGTGAACTAATATATTTACTGCTTTACAAAGTATTTTCCATTCCACTCGTTCCAACAATTTTTGAAAACGTAAGGACCATTGGCCAGGAGCGCAAAACTTTCAGAGTGACCTATGTAACTCCTTAGAAATATGTGTCAAGGTGAAAAAAATCACTGTTGCAGCGACATCTCCAACGGACGTGAACTGTATCCAGTTTCGTGCGTGAACGAGATAGACGACACGCCGCTGCCCGACGACTTCACGTACGTGACACGGCACGTGACGCCCAGCCCCGTGCCCGTCGACACGTCGCTCAGCACGCTCCAGGTATACTGATATACTGTTGTTGCACTGCATTGTTGTGCCACGACCGTGACACACGAGTTACATTCGTGAACAATTGTGCATATCTTAGATGGATCTTTACAAATTATACCAAATTATTATCTTTCTATATAGACATTTTAAATGAATAACCTAATATAAAACATTGCCTAATTACAAAATAAATTTAGTCCCAGGTTTAAACTAGAGTCTGTTTCAATAAAGGTACCTGTAAAAATATGTAGGGTATGGAATTTGACTGCAATAGGGTACTACACTTATTTTAAAATAGTTTTAAATGAATCCTAGAGTGATAGATAATATACCACTATAATTTTATATTATTTTTTTAAACGAAATGTGCCATAAAAATTACTTCACGTGAAATATACACACACACACGCGCGCGCACACGCACGCACGCACATACGCATGCACGCACATACGCATGCACGCACACACGCACGCACACTCGCGCGAACGCACGCACGCATGCACACACACATACACACATACGCGCTCACGCACACACACACACACACACACACACACACACACACACACACGCATACGCGCTCGCACGCACGCACGCACGCGCGCGCGCACACACACACATACACACACACACACACACAAACACACACACGCGCGCGCGCTTGCACGCACGCACACACGCACACAGACACACAGAGAGAGAGAGAGAGAGACATGTACAGACACACGCACGCACACACACACACTGAAATAACACACAGCGCATTTAGTGTAGTCAACAAGTTCAAAAACGTAACAAACGTAAGAAACTCCTAAAAACATGTGCGATAGCTAATTCGATTCGGAAAGATGTCTAAAAAATATATCTCGAGGATTTAGTAGTTTATATACCACATAAAAATTTGCAATTGTTATTTTTAAAAGAAAGATGAGACAAAAAGATATTTAGTTTTTTGAATAAAACTACTTTTACTTTTTTAGATTTGATAGACCACAAATTCTCGCGAAAGAACATCGATTCCTGCCAATGATAATAAGTGACGCTATTGAAATTAAAAACATCCTGATTTCAACCTGCTTGGGATCCTGTAATTAATAAAATTAAAACTAAACCCAGGCATACCACACTAAGTTCATTCTGCGTAGATCAGACCAAAACTAATAATTAAAAAGCTGAAGGTACTCCGGGTTAACTCCGACATTGGGACCGTCAATCATCTCAGTCCCCAGTGAGCATGGGTACTGGGAAGCACCCCAAAGGTCGGGAGTTTCAAAATAAGTATAATTAAATGCAATAAAATCCGTAAAAGTAGTTTTATTCAATGTGTAGTGTTCGCATAAATATAAGAAAACATTATTTAGTTTTTTATTAATCTATCATTCGGAATCTTCGCTTTTATAGATAATATAATCCTTTATAGTATACTGCACGATATATTGTGCGCCATTGCATGGACATTTAAGGCACAGATTAAAAAAATATCATAAAATTGAAATATAAAATTTGTAATGCATTTATATGAATAGGAATAAATATTTTTCGTTTACTTTTTAAAAAACCATATAACCATATCATAAATACGTATTTTTTTACATGGTGCTAAATACCCTATTTTCATATTCCGCTAAGATTGCCACCGCGACTAAGCAACTTCTTTAGTTATAAAGAGTCTTCTTAAATATTATTAAATGTTATTCACATTTTGGGTAAAATATTGTTTACACAATTTTTTAACATCTATTATAGCATTATCTTAAATAAAATCTCGATATAACATGCTAAAAATATGAAATGTCAATTGTCTAGGGCTGCGAGTGCCGTTCGGGCGAGTGCGGGAGCACATCGTGCGCCTGCAGTTTGCTGGGCGTGCGTAACTGGTACAGTGGCGGCCGCCTTTTGCCGGGGTTCCCCTTCCATGACCCCCCCATGCTGTTTGAGTGCAACGAAACATGCGCGTGCAACTTGGTTAGTGCTTTATTTTATTTTTACCTAGTTTCCCCATAAGTAGGGTAATTTTTCTTTGATTTATGTCAATCATATTAGGCATTTTATCAGCAACCCTATTACTGTTCACTTCAGGCTTTTGGAATTACCTACAAAGATTGGTTCAGGATTTTGGTTACATATGCCTACCGAGAAATTGCAAGCAATCAGTAAGTCACCTATCATACAGCACAGCCTGCTAATCAAATAGCAGCACGCCTTCGAAGACATGACTCAACTCACGTGACTTAAGAATATTCAACATAGTATAAAACCCAGGGCTTAATTGTTAAGGCAGCCCAGTAGTAGTTAAGTTAGATAGTCAAGTATTCCTGTGTACTCACATTGTCACTGTAGTTAAGTTAACTTGTGAATTTAAAAATAAAATTAATATAGGATAAAGTCTTCGTCTCCTTCCACTTCAACCCTCCCCAAGCTGCCGCAAGCGTAAGTAGCTCTATTTAGATGTAATTTGTTAAACAAACATGACACCCGTCGTTTTACCTTATTATAGGCATAAGGTAAACGGAATAAAGGTTTAAACATAATATGTAATATTTTATTATCTACAATATTTAAAACTATAATGAAAAAACTTAAAATTATAGTCTTTGCGTTATAGAATGGTGCGGGTGACAGTTAACACTTTTGGCGTGTCTAGAGATGCAACAAAGTTAAATCGATTTAAAAAAAAAGCGATTAACGATACACAAAGCAAAGCAAAAATTATCGATAAGTTATCAAGAAAAATAAAAGAGCTTTTGTTCCTTTTGTGAAAAACCTTTACCCTTCATTTCGGCCCCTCGAAAAATGTTGATACAGTGCCCCTCTAAGGCACGCTACCCCAATGAGTACTATATAAGTACTCGGTTACTATATAACTTGGATTTGGGAAGTCAATTTAGTACAATTTGCTTTACCTACAGTAAATAACGTATTTATGTAGGTAGGTTTGGTAGGTTTTTTATTAAGATAAATGTTAATAAAATAAATAGATGATTTCCGCGACTTCGTCCGCGTGAAAACGGATTCAAAATAATACCGTTGGTATTTAGTTTCTTTACAAATACCATGTTAAACATTAAACTCGAATGAATTTGTGAAATGAAATGTTAGTACTTACCTAATACCTATGTATCTACCTATATGTTATGTTACACTAATTTACACACAAAAACAGCTCAAACATAAAAACTATATATACAGAAAACAAAAAAAATCACATTAAAATTTACTTTAAAATTTACGAAACCGAATCAGAATCACAAACGCATTTAACTTACGCGACGCGATGCACATAACTAAAAATAAAATTTTAAATAGAACACAAAAATAGGCACCACTCGTCGACTCGTCGTCAAGGCCAAAGGCCGTGTTAAATTTTTTTACAATAATAACTGATTAAAAATAACATTAATTACAAATGTGCATAGTAGCACACCATAAGATCTAAAATCGTTTATTTTGAAAACAATGCCACACAATAAAATAATAATACTATGTACTTCTTGGAAGCGTGCATAATTTTATTGAAAATGATATGTTCTATAATAAATCGTATGTGCCTACTAATAAGGATTAATATTAATTTATTTATATTAATTTAAGATCTTTAATATAATGGATTTTCGCAAAGTAACGCCTGATTCTTTTAATTATATACATGTATTGTAAGTTATTTCAATTTCGTTTACAGGAACATGACGGCCTTGTACTAAAATAAAATTATCTTGTATATTTATTACTTATTATAATCGATTTATTTCAAAACCGCTTTTTGATAGTCTGTGGTTGTTCGTTATGGCATGCCATAGTTTAGCGTAGCACATAACTATCGTAAGTGGGCGTTACCCATTCATGAAGTACAATAATATCTGTGGCGGCGCTGTCGTCGCGCCACAAGCGAAACACATCGAAGCCTAAATCGCACTAACAAAGTTCCGAAGTTAAAGCAATATACAGGATGTCCCAGTAATGGTGGATAATCTGGTACGTACGTGTTCGGGCGGGTGGGAGGTGGCCTCGGTTCCCTAAAAAAAATTCTATCCCGAACGGTTCGCGGTCTACGTCATGTTTTATAAATTTCCGAAAATTCGTACTTCTGCTCACATTTGTGGTCATCACGTCCGCAGTTTAATGCCTAGATCGGATTTTTTTGTTTTAATGTGTTCCCTAATAATGATGTTTCTAAATTACCCTTAAAAGTTTTCAACTACTATGGGTAGTATTTTACAAGACGGCACTAAACATAAGTTTAAATTTTTTACTTTATTTAACTGCTAAGTTTAAGCACCTGTGGTGAAAAAAAAAACGTATAGGATCTGTGTGGCCAACCATTTAAAAAGTTTGCCTATATCATAAGGATTCTAAAACATTAGCATACCATGTATTTAATGTCATTACTTACTGAGCTACAGCAGTTAATGTGTAAAAGTAGGCATTTAATTACAAAATTACAAAATTATTGGCAGATAGTTTTTTCTAAACATTGCATGTCTTTATTAGGTAAGTACATTTGTCGCCCTTGAAAATTTTACTTTACTACCTGCTCGCCTTGTTTGGACGAATTGGTCTGGTCACTTTCTCACTTTCACACGTGTTACGTTTGGTACGTAACACGTGTGAATATACGTTAGCGAGCGGTTCACATGCAATTTGTAATATTCATGTCGAGCACATATTTGTGGTTGGCTGAAATTTGTTATATTTATGTCGCGCACATATTAGTGTAAGGTAATAGACGGCAGAGACAGGGTGTCAGGGCTAGGTGATGGGGTTCTCTCACTGCCAGTCAAGCAGACTCACAAGACTGATCCAGAGGTTCTGACGGCTAAAGGTGTCTTAGCCGCAGTGAGAGGGAGGTCTTATCAGGAGTCTCGGCGGTAATATCTGTTTAAACTGTTTGCAGCTTGTGGAAGTCTCAAAAGACTTCGTAATTTCTTACCCATTTCTACCAAAATTGCGTTAGCACATTCCATTTTGTTGCCTATTTTAGACTTTGCTGGTATATGCTACACTGATATTACCATGGAGCAATTAAACAAGCTTGAGCGTCTTCAAAATCTTTCCATTCGGTTCATATTTGGCTTACGCAAATATGACCATGTATCCCAATTTCGAAATCAACTCAAGTGGCTCCCAATTCACCTTCGCCGGAATGTTCATTTACTTTCTTTACTTTTTTGTGTTCTGTTTGATCCGAAATCTCCAAGGTACCTTAAGGAACAATTTCATTATCGATATGAATTTCATGATCGTAGTTTGCGTTCAGTGTATAGCTTGGCTTTGAACACTCCTTACAGCGTAACTTCTTTTTATAATAAGTCATTTACTTCACAAGCAACCCGACTCTGGAATTCATTACCACTTAACATCCAGCAAGCGCAATCTTTACAGGCTTTTAAAAAACAACTGAAGGAGTATTATTTGAATTTCCCGTCATAATTATAAATTATATGCATTTCCTCTTTTTATAAATACTTGTTTTTTTTTCTTTTTGCTTAATACGTGTGTATATATATGTATATATTTATCGATATGTATGTATATATGTATATATTTATTTATTTATGTTTATTAATTTTATAACATTATATATTATATAATTCATATATTTATATAAATCGTGTTTAATTATAAGTTTTTGTCCTCAGTTTCATTTTATATTGCACGTTGCACCTATCCGTCAAAATATATTACATTGTTCCCTATTACGTTCGGTTTGTCAGGTAGAAATCGCTTAAAGCGATATGACCACCGTTTGTAGTCCTTAAGTTATTCCGTAATTGTAACACTTTGTATAAATGCAATAAAGAGTTATCTATCTAATATCGTTATTAGTAGACGTCGTCCAGTGTTGAAAAAGCATTTTATTCACAAAACATTACAAAATGTACAATTTAATGCACGTATAAATTTATATCATATGCTAAGACTACTCAGCAACTACTGTTAGTGTGCGTGAGTTTTGTTGACAAGGTCACTGGGGTGCTGTGTTGCAACGTTCAGAGCTGAACATAGTGGTTGCCATGAAAGTTGTTATATTTATGTCGCTCACATTTTTATCGTTGACATATACATAATTTGTAATATTGATGTCGTGTACATATTCGTGGTTGTACATGAGGGAGTGTAATAAACTATGTTTCACTCATGTAATTGTTGTAGCTTTTGTAAAAAAATTAGTGAAACGTCGAAGCTTTTTGTTGTTAGCGCCTTAATCGCCGCGCTCTGGCAACGAATCCGACGATAGCATTACCAGACGTATCGTACCTTTGATTTCCTCACCCCGTACCCGCATCGTACCATGGTTTTCGGGGCTTAAAGTAATGTAACTCGGCAGCGGCAGTGCAGCAACCGCGTGGTGTCGCGCGTGGAGGCGGGCGGGTCGCTGGGCGTGCGTGCGCAGGTGTTCCGCAGCGCGCGGCGCGGCTGGGCGCTGCGCACGCTGCAGCGCGTGCGCCGCGGGGCGCCCGTCGCGCTCTACTGCGGCGAGCTGCTGCCGCGAGCGGTAGCTGACCAGCGTCCGCGCGATCAGTACATGTTTGCGCTCGACCTCAAGCCCGACCTGCTGGAGGTGTGTATGTGTTTGTGTGTGTAGGTACCGTCGGATTCTATTGCGGCAAACTGATACTGCGCGCGCACGCCGACCTACGCCCGCGCGACCTTTATATGTTCGCGCTCCACCTGCTAGAGGTGGGTGCGTGCGCGCGTGTGTGCGTGTGTATGCGTGTGTGCGTATGTGTACTGCGGCGAATTGCTGCTGCGTGTGCGATCATAGGCTTCCTCTAAAGATTTTTATTTATAGGAAAGGAGCACAGTCCACTTGATGGTAAGTGGCCCTTGCGGCCCATAAACATCTACATCTGTCCTCGACTACGAAATAAAATGCAGATGCTTTGTCACCCGTGAGGAATAATATGGAATGCCTCTTTTTCAGTAAAAAAGGTCTCCGGTTTTCTACATTTAACATATGAAACACAGCAGCATTAAACTGCTATTTTACACTAGAGTTATTGTTAGGGGGGATTTTGCCATATTTGTCTCACTTAGCAAGCGGGTTGGCAACCGTAGTTTTTTATTTTAAGTAATTATGAGGAAGATGTTGCTACCCATCTTTTGATTTGTACAAGATTAGGAGATCTGCAAGTGTGTGCAACAGGGTGTCGTAAGCGACCTCCACGGTGTAATATGGTGTAGTGGATATTCTTACACAGCCATTACACAATGGTTTATATTAATAAATTTTAAATAGGTACTAACAGTGGATAAAAAAAAAACAATAAACAGGAAAAACAATAATCACACGTGGTAGAGCCATGCTGCAGCTATATTAGTAGTATAGTTATAGCACGAATGGGTTGGTTCGACTGGGGAAGGATCATGTTCTCACAGAATACCAGCGTAAAATGACAGCTTAACACTGCTGTGTTTCATATGGTGAGTTTAGAGATCCGGAGACCATTTTTACTGGAAAAGAGGAATTCTATCTTAGTCTTCACGGGTGACAACGCATCTGCGTTTTGATTCGCAAACGAGGATAGATGTAGATGTCTATGGGCCACAGCAACCACTTACCATCAGGTGGAGTGTGTGCTCGTTTGTCACCCTATCCTATAAAAAAAGGAGAGAGTAGACTACACTGTTCATAATTTGTGTGAATCCGTTCGGGCAGGAGTGCTCGCTGAAGCAGCAGCTGTGCGTGGACGCGGCGGCGTACGGCAGCGCGGCGCGGTTCGTGAACCACAGCTGCCGCGCGGCGCTCGTGCCCGTGCGCGTGTTCACGCGGCGCCGCGACCTGCGCCTGCCCGTCGTCGCGCTCTTCGCCGCCCGCGACCTGTCCGCCGGCGAGGAGCTCACGTAAGCACCGCACTCACACACACAAGCAGCCCACTCTGGCCACCACGCCACACCCGACACACTATTACAATGACAAACCAAACAACCTGTTGCACAACCCAACACGTCGTTGACGCTGCAAAGGGAGCAAGTAAACATTTCGCCGTCTCCGACGAACACTATCGTTATCGCTATTACCATAGAGTCGGGTTTATTGAAGATTCGTTATTTACACACCGTAATACATCATTGAGAAAATTTTTATGGCTGGGCGACGAATACTTTTCGATTTATCCATTCAATAATGATCTTTATGTTGCTGTTCAACGGATAACATAATAGAACAATCGAGTCGATTAATAACGCAAAAACTTATTACCAAATCTTATGAGTAAAGATTTTAGAGTAAGCATTATTACCCTATTGTTCGAGTGAAAAATGACAAAGCCGTTCCCGGTAAGCGTCAACACAATATCGTTCGGATGATCACACACCTTCATATTTACCGTATAATCAAGATTATAGAGGTGAAACGGAGGACGTAATTACAATAGAAGAAATCCATAGAGGTTATCAGTCAGAAGAAAAGAAACTCAGTAGAAAACGCCGTCGAAACGAGAGTGAGTGAAAAGACAATAAAAACAAAAAAAATGAAGGATTCTGGAAAAAGCTACACAAACAAACGTACAAAAAAGTATATCCAGCAAAAACCATGGGACCTGTATGTTTTTGTAAAAAAAATGCAAGAAAAGTTCTCTGAACAGCAGAGGAAAACTATATTTGAAACTTTTTATAAAATGGCTGATCACGAACTGCAATGGCAATTTATTAATATACACACAATAGCAAAACCAATAAAGAAAATGACTATAGACAGAAAACAAAGCAGGACCCAAACTATCAATTATAGCTTTCCATTAGACGAGTCAGAAATTACTGTTTGCAAGGTTTATTTTTTAAATACTTTAACAATATCAGAACAGTTTGTTTATACAGCATTGGAAAAAACAAAAAAAATAATGAAGGTATGATTGATCAGAGAGGAAGTCACGCGAACAGGCCTCAAAAGATGAGTAACTTGACGAAACAAAGCATAATTGACCACGTTAATTTGTTTCCAGCAGTAGAGTCTCACTACGTCAGAAAATACTCAAAACGGCAATATTCAGAGCAACTTAATATTTCTAAAATGTACCGATTATATGAACTGTGGTTTCCAAACCAAAATTTGCCAAAAGATAGGACCCAGAAGCTACAAAGCGACAGTATGAGTCTGTTTTCAATACAGAATTCAATTACTCTTTCTTTCGGCCAAAAAAGGATCAGTGCCCAACATGTACCCTTTATGACCAAGCAGATGAAGAAAAAAAATTATACTAGAGGACGCATACAGAAAGCATATAAACAAAAAGGAGACTGTTCGTAACATATAAAACGAAGAAAAATTGAGCACAGATGAAAAAAACACTACATTTGCGGCGTTTGATCTGGAAAAAAGTTTTGAGTGTGCCACAGTCCGAAGTGGGCATTTTTTATTATAAACGAAAATATGCAGTTTATAACTTTAATGTGTTTGATTTAATGCGCAAAGCCGGACATTGTTTTGTGTGGCATATGTCTATTGGAAAGAGGGGTTCTACCGAAATTGGTAGTTGTTTATTAAAATTCATCCAGGAAGAACAACTGAGAGGAATCGAAAATTTTTCATTTTATTCTGATGGTTGCGCCGGCCAAAACAAAAATCGGTTTATATTCGCCCTATACCCGTATATCGTACAAGTTTATGGAGTGAAAACTATAACGCACCAATTTTTTGAGACCGGGCATAGCCAAAATGAAGGTGATAATATGCATTCATGCATAGAGTGGGCTATGAAAAATAAAATACTGTATACTCCAGAACAAGTTTATGGTGTAATTTCAAACGCGAAAATCTCGCATCCAAAATATAAGATCAATGAAATGGAGCAGGTGGATTTCTACGATATAAAAGATCTTATTAATGGAAAGAATTGGTTGAAAGACACCGAAGAACGAAAAATTAAGTGGTCGAAATTGATGGAGGTGAGAGTTTCTCATTTGAAACCAACAATTTTACAGTATAAGTACAAACTCGAAAATGAGCCCTTTGAGTTGAATACTAAATAGACCAAACCGAAAAGAGGGCGAAAATCCGTCGCCGACGAGGTACAAACCCTTAAAAATATTTACAACCATCCGTTACCCGTCACCCTGGGCCCTGCTTGATGACCTGAAGTCTGAGTCCATCCCAAAATATTATCACAGTTTTTATAATAATTTAAATTGTGCCGACATCATACCTGAGGAACAAGAAGAAGATTTAAATTAAAATTGGGTTACCTACTTGTAATATTTTTAAATCTTGTTTTTAAATATGGATATTTTTTTTACTTAATGGATATTTTTTTGCATTTTATTTCCCATCGATAACTTATTTTAGTTTTTGTTGGATGTATTAATAATTAAACTGTTACCTATTTACTGTTTTAATAAAACAAAATAAATTCAATTCAAATTCAAAAGATTATAATTTGTAGCACTGTAACTTGTACCTACCTACCTTGTACCTTTAGATTAATGTCATTCGCCTTAACCACTTTCAAACTCGCTAGATTAAATTATAAACTGACAATTTAGGTACAATTTACAGTGTTCCAAATTATAACCGTATAAAATCAATAGGTACATCCAAAAAAAAATCCAAAAATTAGTAATGACAATTATTATGGTAGTAATAAAAACCTTTAATTATACATATTTACACAATATTTCATTCTGAAACTAGCGGCCGCTCGCGACTTCGTCCATGTGGGCGGATAAAAAGTAGCCTTTGTTTTTAGTTTGACTAACATCTATCTATCAGCTGTGAAAACCGCATTAAAATCCGTTCTGTAGGTTCAGAGATGTGCTGGAACAAACAGGCAGACACGAAACAAAATGCGCATTTTTCTCTTATATTACCTTTATTTTGTCGTTCCCTGTCATTTTAGTCCATTATCCTTACTGTACAGACAAACCTGGTTCCACTAATTTATTATAGTAATAGATAAAAGATTATGACGGTATTAAATTAAATCTTAACTCCTAAAAACGATAATCAAAAAAACATGTAATGTATGTTTACCGTAATATTGAGGTCAGTTACATCATCGAATACAATTGCAATGACGTTATACGAACAGAAAGTACATGCATATTTACCATGGAACTATATCGTAATGCACGATTGCTATAGCCACATCATTTTGTGATTTCCGTCGAACACTATCGTAAAGTTAGTTAGCGGTAACATCCTCCATAATTTATTTCAGTAATGGACATTTTCATGATTTTCTTATTTATAAAGAAAACTTTTTAGAAAATTTTTGTATAATTGTAGTGCCAAAATTTTATTTCCTATTTTTGGTAAAAGAATGTTCTTTCTAGGTTTGATAGTTCTTATGATATTCAGTTTTTATTTGCTCCTGTAAAATTGACATTTTGCTATTACGATTTTGTTCGTCGGGGACGGCGATTTATTATTCCTTGATTACTAGCTTTTTTCATCTTTTATTTTAAATATATTAAACTTAATGGAAAACTACAAATAGGATAAATTTTCTGATGTAAAAAAAATACTAGTAATCGGGGAATAATAAATTTTTTCTTGCTCTCCTGTTATTTTTTGAAAAATTGAGGTACGCCCCTTTGCGATGTTAGCGACGCACATTGACGTGCACCCAACACACGTCACTCTACACCTAGCAACCCACACTGACAAACCGACACACTGTTCACAGTATAATAAACATACAGTAGGACGACGCCTTTGATCTCGTGGTAAATGCCGACAACGTCTAGACAGCGTATGGAGGTTAGGGTTGTCACAAATAACAACTTTTACTAATTTAATTATTAACTTCCTTCTGCGTAGCATTGAAAGGAAGTTAATGGTTTTAGCTGGCAGTCTGTTAGTCTGTATGCCGACACGATAACTTCCGTTCCACCGGTATTTACCGGTGATTGACTTTAAATTTGGTATGTGGATACCTTGAGGTAGTAGCTCGGTCGAGTTTAAATTTGAGTCCTGTAGGTCAAAGGGCACCAGAGATATGGGATTAACGCAGAAGGAAGTTGTTTTTCTTGAATTTACATTCAACTCATTTATTTTAGATCTACATCGTCATCAACAGTATGATTAATAATATAAAAAATAAGTAACAATATGTTTTTAGATTTTTCCTGAAAGTACTCAAAACGTTAATTGCACGCCTCACAACGTGAGGGAGTGCTCTACTCTCGATATGTGGCCATACCTCAATTTCGCTACATAAAATCGTTCTTATACTCTTAGCTAGACATCAAATCCATATTATTATTAACGTTACAATGACTCATCATCATCATCATTACAGCCCTTCACAAGTCCACTGCTGAACATAGGCCTCCCCCAAAGAGTGCCACAAAGCACGGTCCTGAGCCACCTACATCCATCGACTTCCTGCATGTCTTACCAGGTCGTCACTCCATCTCGTGGGGGGACGCCCTACACTTCGCCTACCGGTACGAGGCTGCCACTCGAGAACCTTTCTTCCCCATTGGTTGTCGGTTCTTCGAGCTATATGGCCGGCCCACTGCCACTTCAGCTTACTAATCCGTTGGGCTATGTCGGTTACTCTGGTTCTACTGCGGATATCCTCATTCCTAAGTTTATGACTACAGACATTAAATTATTAGCATATTTTATAATTGTTTCTTTAGGCTTTCGAAACTTTTTTCAACTAAATCAGGTCTTTCAATAACTTCCATCCATAATTTGCATCTGAAATTTTTAAATACAATACTTATCAATAAATTTTCATAATTACCACCCCAATAAACCTTGAAATAGACATCCATATCATACGTATATTAAAAAATGACCGCCATCATTTACAAATAAATGCTATTTTCGTAATTAGCACCCCGACAAACTTAAAAATTGACCCCTAAATCTTAATATTTTATAAAAAAAACTTCGA